AAGGCTCCACTTAGTGAAACTCAGATAAAGGGACCTAATGAGGAACAGGTCCACAATGGCTGGATGAGTGATATGCTTATTGCTATGGCTTTACATGTTGGAGGGCTCACAGGAAGGGCATGTAAGCAAAAATGTTTGATGATCCATTGTTGTAGGTCACTGCTCTGTATCCTTTAGTGTTGATTTCTGCCCCCCCCATCCCAATGAACATTAGTGGATTAAATAGATCAGTAGAGCAATCTAGAAAGTTTCAGGGTATGCAAGTTCAAGCTTGCTTGTTCCAGAATTTTAAAAGCACTCTCAAATGCCTCCTATTCACAAATTATAATTTCAATTTATATTTCCTTCTCTCTATAGGATTCCCCTAGAAGAAAATGATTTTATAAAAAGAACATAGAATTGGAAATTAGGGAGAAGTGGATTCTAGACTAGAAGTAACAACTGACTAGCTGGGTGACGTTGGGTAAATTATTAGGGTGATCTCTTTTTTTTCCCAAAATATTGTATTTCTTTCCAATTACATGTAAAAACAATTCTAACTTTTAAAATTTTTTAATTTCAAATTCTCTCTCCCTCCTTTCCCCCCTCAATGAGAAGGCAAGCAATATAATATAGGTTATACATGTACAGTCTTACAAAACATATTTCCATATTAGTTATTCAGTGAAAGAAAATACAAAACAAAAAAATTTTTAAATATACTTCATATACTATTTGCTCTCTCTCTCTCTCTCTCATTTTGTTTTGTTTCTTCTTTCTTGTCGTTCCTCCCATTGGTTCTAATTCTTCTTTACAACATGACTAATTTGAAAATATGTTTAATAGGAATGTATATGTAGAGCCTATATCAGATTGCATGCCTTCTTGGGGAGGGGAGAGGAAAGGGAGGGGGGGAATTTAAAACTCAAAATATTATAGAAGTGAACGTTGAAAACTAAAAATAAATTTCATAATTTAAAAAATATGCTTCAATCTGCATTCAGACTCCATCAGTTCTATCTCTGGAAATGGGTAGCATTTTTCATCATAAGTCCGTCAGAATTGTCTTAGATCATTGTATTGCTGAAAATAGCTAAGTCATTTATAGTTGATCTTCGTTAGAATATTGTGGTTACTGTTTACGATGTTCTCCTGGTTCTGCTCACTTCACTTTTCGTCAATTCATGTAAGTCTTTCTGGTTTTTCTAAAAGCATCCTGCTTTCTTATAGCATAATAGTATTTCACCACAATCATATACCCCAACTAATTCAGTCATTCCCCAATTGACAGGCTTCCCCTCAATTTCCACTTCTTTGCCAGCACAAAAAGAACTGTTCTAAATATTTTTGTACATATATGTCCTTTTCCTTTTTTTTTTTATCTCTTTGGGATATAGATCTTATTGCTAGGTCAGAGGGTATGTACAGTTTTATAACCCTTTGGGCATAGTTCCAAATTGTTCTCCTGAATGGTTGAATCAGTTCACAATTCCACCAACAATGCATTGGTATCCCAATTTTCCCACATTCCCTCCAATATTTGTCATTTTTCTTTTCTGTCATATTAATTGATCTGATAAGTATGAGAATGTACCTCAGAGTTGTTTTAATAATTTGCCTTTCTCTAATCAATAGTTATTTAGAGCATTTTTTCATGTGACTACAGATACCTTTGATATTGTCATCTGAAAACTACCTGTTCATATCCTTTGATGTAATGTGATCTCTTAGATCCTCTCCAGGTATAAAATTCTAATATTCTACTCTGTGAAAGTTCTACTTCTGGAATACAGAGAAGCATGGAAAGACATATGAACAGATGCAAAGTGAAGTAAGCAAATCCAGGAAAACAACATACTGAATGATTACAACAATGTAAATGGAAAACATTTTTTAAAAAATTATGTAATATAATGATAAAGCTTGGCTACCCCAAAGGGTATACTTTTATCGTCCTTTGGAGAGGTAGAGTACTATGGGTATGGACTGTTGAATACAGTATCAGACTGAGTGTTAAAGTATTGGTTAGTTTTACTGAATTAATTTCTTTTCTTTGTTATAAGAGATGACTGTCTGGGAAGGAAAGGAATAAATTTGGGAATGAAGTGAAGATAAGATAAAAACAAAAGAGAGATCAGTGATTTATTTTATCTTTTTTTTTTTGGAAAGGGGGCTAGGCAATGGGATTAAGTGACTTGCCCTGGGTCACACAGCTAGTGTTACTGTCTGAGGCTGGATTTGAACTCAGGTCCTCCTGACTTCAGGGCAGGTGTTCTATCCACTGCACCACCTAGCTGCCCTATCGGTGGATTTTTTAAAAGAAGAATAAAATGCTCTTCTGCTTCTTCCTACCTTGGTGTATCTTGACCTTTGATTATCAGTAATTGGTAAGAGTGCCTCTATATTTATTATTCTTTTGAAAGCACTTTCACTTTCACTATTCCATTTGGTCCCAAGAATCTTTTTGAAGTAGGACAAGTATTAGCACTTCCATTTAATAAATTAAGGAGCTTACACTCTGGTAGTGGCATAAGTATTAAGCATAACTATAATAAATTATTCAACATTACACAAATGCATAGCATGGTACAAAACTAGAAACAATGTCTGTCAATTGGAGTATGATGAAATGTGTGTGTGTACATGTATGTAATGGAATAGTATTCTTTCATTTTAAAAAGTCAGAAAAATGAAGAACTCAGAGAAACATGAAAAAACTTGCATGAACTGATGCAGAAGGAAGAGAACAGAGCAATATACACATCTACAATAGTATAAAACAACATTAAAAGAAATCAGAAATAAGATGAAATATGAGGAATCTTGATTTGAGAGGAGAGATGATGTAAATATAGTACAGTGTTTGAAGTCAGAAGACTTGGATTCAAGTCTTGATTCTGCCATTTATACTACCTGTATGACCTTGGGCAAATAACATAACCTCTCTGAGCCTCAGTTTCCTCATCTGTGAAATTAAATGATTGGACTAGATGACCTTGAAGATCCCTTCCAGCTCTAAATTTATGTCTTCCTTGAAACACATTTCTCTTCTCTCAGCAGAGAGATAATAGGCAAAACGTAAATGCATTGTTAGGTGGGATCTCTGGGTCGGCTGGTTTTGATTTGCTGTTTTTCTTAGTTAAAATAGGGTCCTGAGATACATAAGGAATAGAGGATTTAGATGTAGGTGCTGGTCCTGACACATACTAGCTGTGCGACCATGAGCAAGTAGCCCCATGCAACTCTGGAAGACTAGAAGTTATGGAGCCATTGCTAGTCTGCATGGGTGGAGGTAGTGTCCACACTAGAGATCTTCAACACTGATAAAACCAGGGGTCTGAACTTCTCTCCTCCCCTCCCCTACCCACCCCAAGAAAAAAGATGAGGAATGGGGGGGTAGGGAGGGCAGCAGTGTTGACTGGAAAGTGACAGTAAGTGGCATAAAAAATTAAATAAATTATGTGGGTGAGTTTAAAAAAATAATGACGTGTAGGGACAGCTAGGTGGCGCAGTGGATAGAGCACTGGCCCTGAAGTCAGGAGGACCTGAGTTCAAATCTACCCTCAGACCAAACACTTGATACTTGCTAGCTGTGTGACCCTGGGCAAGTCACTTAACCCCAACTGTCTAAGCAAAATAATAATAATAATAATAAAGTGCTAGGTGAGAACAAAATCCAATACTAAGTCTGGAGAGATGGAGATGGTCGAGAAAGGCTTTCTGGTGTTTGAATTGGGTATTTTAAAGGATAAGTAAAATTACTTCTGGCAGAAAACGAAAAGGGAGAACTTTCCAGACTCTCTCAACCTGTGCATAGTCTGGGAAGCATAAGCACTTGCCTGTAATAGATAGATAGATAGACAGATAGATAGATAGATAGATAGATAGATAGATAGATAGATAGATAGATAGATAGATAGATAGATAAAAAGAGTAAGTAACCTAGGACTTCCACCTGTGTATAGTAACGTGGCTCCCTTAAAAGCCATGGCTGAACAATCTTCTCTCTGAACCCCTCCCTTTTTTTAGCATCCCCCTGCCCCCTGCGCTTTGCACAGTGCCTGGCGCATAGTAAGCGTTTTTAAACCTTCTTGACTTGACTTCCCCCTCCCTGCCCCCAATAAAAGGGTCCACTACACTAAACTCTTTTGCTTTTAACAACTGTCACCGAGTAGCAACCTTTATTTATTCACAGCATAGGTGTGTCCTCTCCAGGTCTGAGGTGCAACTTCTCTACCTTAGGGTCAAAGGATAAGACCACAGATTGAGAGTTGGAAGGGCCCCCGGGGCCACCCAATTCAACTTTCCCATTTGACAGAAAGAAAGTGAAGCCCAAAGATATTAAAACATCTTGTGTTAGAAGAGTTGTGCTTTCAATCCGCAACAAAAGACCTAGCAAGGAAAGTTATAGGAGGAATTTCAGAGGTTAAAGTACTCAAAGAACCAAGAGAAACTTAAGAAGTACTTAGGGAACCAAGATCTAAGCATTGCGGGCTGGGGAGATAATTTCCTTCGCGTATATAATTGGGGGAACAGGTCAAAAGCGGAGGTGTTTACTTTTCTAAAGACAGAACTGGAACTAGAAACCTTGAAAAGCAAGCGATCGTGAACGAGACCGGACGTCCCCTCTCCTGAAGCCTGGCGGGTCTCCCCACAGTGTTTTCAGAAATTGAAAGTTTCAGGAGCACAACTATCTGGGGGGAGGGGATGGGGGTGGGGAAGAGGAGAAACAGCAGTAGCCAAAGATGGTCTTTATTCAAAGCACCCCCACCTACACACTCACACGCCTGATACACATCACTGATTTGATCTCCTGCCATTGGATCTTGCCCTGAACGAAGGGGCCCAGAATAAATCTGAGGATTCTACAATTAAAAGACTACGCAGTTTCCCAGATGTCTGCTTTGGTCCCGGCTTTTCAAATGACTCCGTCATTTATTGGCTGCCCCTTGCGTTAATCACCCGCAGTTTACTTGAGCCCCGCCCACCTCTAGCCTCTGTTAAACTGGATCTTTTTCAGCTGTCACAGCCGGCAGCTCCAAGCTGTGCTTAGAAATCGCTTGACTGAGCTCAGAGGGGCTGTCTCCGGATTTTGTGAAGCTAGCTGCTTAGTGCTGTCGATTCGTTTGTTTAAGTTAGCGTTACTTTTTCATAGCGGTTTGCTTTGGTTTTCTCAAGTATATGCCCACTGGAGCAGGAGAAAGCCAGAGAAAAAGGGCAGATTTCGTGTACAGGTGGAAACAGGTTCTCTGGGAGATTTTAAACTACAGAAATGAAACTTCGGCTTGTTTTAGATTGAAAAAATGAGTCTCTGTGCTCCAAAGAGCTAAAGTGAACTGTTGTTTTTTGTGTTTTTTTTTCCATAGGTAGGTGGAATATATATGTATAACGGTTGATTTTTAAAAAAATTAAGAAACGGGAAACTTTCTGCTGAGAGAGTAAATATTTTCTGCATATGCAGGTTCGCCATGTGTTAATATCAGTCTTCGCTCTGTACTTCTGGCGAAGAACAGAATATTTATTGGTGACTGTGCTAGGAAAGGAGATGTCCCAGGAAATGCCTCAAACTATAAGCCAAATGGTCAATACCACTTGTGCTTTGCATGGAAAAAGCAACAACGCCCAGTTGGGCGGTTCCTGTGAGTGTGACTTGAAAAGGAAGGCAGGCCACTATCAAGGTAAGTTTTGGAGACAGAATATCAGTATTGGTTTTATGGTGACTTACCAGCCTCTGGCAATCCCAGGGCAGCATAAGGGGAATATCATGAGAGGAGGGGAAGCTCTTGTCTTTTAAATATGCCTAAGTTTTGAACTATGAAAATGTGAAGGGTGATAGGGCATCAAGGAGGACTAATGTGCATTAAATGCTCACTTTTTAAGAGGCCAAGTGAAAGATCATTAAGAACTCAAACTCCTTGTGGTTGCAGTTTTTGTTCTTAAATTCCTCAACAAATTGAAATTTCTGTACTTGAAATGACAACCAATGTCAGTTATCTGGGTGGAGGGGTGAGAAGCAGGGAAATAACATAGTTGGTGTAATTCTAAAAATTTCATGGGCTAAAATTTGACTATTGGGATCACTGTGGGTCAGATTAGCTCCACATCAAGCATGTCATGCCAGTTAGTGACTGGCAGCCATGACCTACTACTTAGGGTATAATCTGAGCTTTAGGCTTGCTGCCTGTTTTATTCATTACATGAGGAAACAAATATGGTTTTTTTACAGTTTCTTTTTTTATGGTGTAAGAGCAAGCAGAAACAGGAAAGTACAAGATGGTCTGGTATAGACCCAATGGACAGCAGTGTAAAGATGAGGAAACTGATCCCCAGAAAGCTTCATAAGTTGTCTAAATGGCATACAGGTTGTCATAGCCTGAGTCTTCAAGCATAGGTCTTCTGACTCAAAACCCCACACTTCATCCACGGCACCATAAAGTGGCTGAAATGAATAGATTCAATTCAACAAATGTTTGTCAAGTAATTACCAAGTGCAGAGTACTGTGCTAGGCACTCGGTGACACATAAAATTCTATAGTACAATTTCCCTGCCTTCACAGAGCTTAATTGTGTGGTAGGAAAATGTGCTACATATGTATATGATACAAAATATTACATGACATGACATAACATAATATGTGACACAAAATAATACATATGGGCTTTAGAGAACTGTTAAGTATTTTGTGAGATCAAAGCTGGTGAAAATCCAGGACTGAGAGATGACAGAAGGCTTCCTGGTAGAGGAAACATTTGGCTTGGGTGGTAATGGGTGGGTAAGATTAAAACAGGTTAAGAGTTGGGGAAAGAAGACATTCTGCAGGCATAGAGAATAAAGTGAGAAAAGACATACAGGTGAGAAAAAGTAGGGTGTATTCTGGGGGTGAATGATTTAACTGAAGCATAGAACGCATGGCAGGGATAGAATGATATCAGAATAGAAAGGATGTTTCCAAATGGCGAAGGGACTTGATTGTTAGGCAAAGAAGTTGGAACTTGACTGGGTTAGCAATAGGGAAATACTGAAGTTTTTTGAACTATGGAAAGATATATCCAGATCTGTGCATAAGGATGACTAGTGTAATAGCTATATAAAAGCTGGATTTGTTTAGAGGGGCTTAAAATTAAGTACCAAAGAACATTTTACGAGGATGAAATCATCTCCCAAAAGTTAGGGTTGTGCTTCAAATATTCCTAAATTCCCCTTAATTATTCTTATTATTTGCAAATGGATATAGGAAGCATAGGTTAACTGTGCTACAGGCTTTCTTTCATTTTCTCTTTTTTTATTTACTTCCTTGTCTTCCTGAATTGCATCTTTCTGCACTTTGAGGGGAGGGGGGATGGTGTCATCTTTAGTTTTTGGCAAACGTTGAGCAGAACAGGCTCGAGAGTGGAATTGTTTCAATTACCAGAAGGACTGCATGTTGACATCCATGCTATTTATGTTATGTTTATCAGGCCCCTTTGCCTGACCCACAGGCGCAGGCACAGAGGGCCAGTACCATGATGTGCAGCCAGGTGGCATAACATGCTAGATTTGAAGTCAGGATGACCTGAGTTCAAATCCTGCCTTGGACCCTTACTAGCTGGGTGACCCTGGGCAAGTCACTTCACTTCTCTCAGCCTCGGTTTCCCTGTCTACATAATGGGCATAATAGTAGCATTTATCTCACAAGATTGTTGTAAGGATCAAACGAGCTATATGAAGTACTTTGGAAACCATAAAGTACCATAAAAATGATAGCTGTTGTTATTTTTTGTATTACCAAACTGTCACTGTGGGTGCTAATCTAATATATATAAATAAAAGTAAAAATTTAATACTTTACAATATCAACAGCACCAAACTGTTTGAAGAAATTAAAGTGACTTTAAACCAGCTATACCAGAATATGTCCTGATATGTACTATAATTTCAGCAAGAAAAATCCATCACTGTAAAAGCCTCCTCCTGTAAAATTAATTTGGTAGTTTTAGAGTGACCTAATGGCCACTCCTAAACCCAATGCTGGCCATGACCATTATAGACTGGAGCCAAACTTATGGTGACCCACTTCTCAAAATATCCACAAGACTCAGTCATTTGGAAGAAATATGTTTTCTTTTCTGTGGTCTTTACTAGAATCTTATGACAACCACCACTAACTTCTGCAACTGAGCCTCAGAATACCTGCCCTTTTCAACCATAATCCCTCGAAGTCTCAGGTACAACAAAATAAGCAGAAAAAAACATCACACCCAGAATTCCAGAGTGTATTGCAGACCAACCATAAGAGGCAGGGGTATCACTTGGAAGAATGGAATGACCAGTGACATTGAGTAAACCATTTGTTATGCTGATAAGTTACATTCCAGTCCCTGACCTAAAGTTCATAGGGGGGATCACCTCCCACCATAGCTTTGATTTTTCCTTAAGGCTGGAATTTTACGTTGCTACTCTGCAAAGTTCAGCAGGTCTTCACAAAATGGGGGGAATGGTGTCTGGCCTGCCCTACTTAAATTAAATTTCTCTTCTTTAGCTAGCATAGAGGCTATAATTTCATTGATCTTCACTTCTCAAAGAACCTGTCTGGAACAACCATATATGCATAATACATACATACATACATACATACATACATACATACATATATATACATATTTTTTCCTTGCCATTCCATGCAACGTGGCAAATTGCTTTAGATAAATGACATGGTTATGCTTCTCTATTCCCCCACATGTATTTTTAGACTGTTTGGCTGTGTAACATAAATCACAGATTTAGAGTCAGATGAGATTTTTAAAAAAATTTTTTTTAGAGATCATCTAATTCAATGCCTCCCTTTTACTGAGGAAACAAATTCTCACAGGGACAAATAGCAGTGTTGGGATTCAAACCCAGGTCTTTTTGGCTCTAAATCCAGCATTTTCCACCACACCACACTTTTAGTAATAGAGACCATAGAAACCCCTCCCTCATGATTGAAGTGAATTCACTACTCATTTCCACCTCTCGAAATCTTTTTTTTTTCCTTCAGGTTTGGCTTGGATATCATTCCCTTTGAGAAGCTACCCCTATGACCAAGTTAAGCCTGTCTCCCTCCTCAAACTAACTGGTATTTACTTACACGATTATGGTTCACACCTCTACCCCTAGAATGTAAGCTTCTTGAGAAGACTGTTTTTGTCTTTGAATTCATAGAACAGTACCTTACACTTAATACAGCAGGTGCTTAATAAGTGTTTTAGACTGGGGGGGGAACGTACCTTAGAGACAGAAACCATATAAGATGCCCATTCAAGTCCCTGTTGCTAACTTTTAGCTTCTCATATGTACTTCTCTGCAGGTATTAAAATAGTCTCTGGTTGCTCTTCCATAGGTCCCATGACTACAGCTTTGGACTTTGTAAAAATAAAAGCAACCTCTTACCCCACCATGTGCTGAGCACTTGGCTCTGCTCACCAGTGTCATGATTGCTGATGTTTTGAACAGACTCAAAAGCCAAGCTCACAGCAATTTGTGTATTCCCACCTAATTTCCTTTGGTGATCCAATTCCTGTTCTAATTTTGCTCTTTATGTCCAGATGGTTACCCACAAGGCCAACAGAGCCAAATTCATCCTCCTGCTCCAAAGGACTTTCCCACCCTGATTTGTTGACTGTTGGATCATAGCTTAAGAGATCTCAGAGATTGTCTAGTGCAACCTCCTCATTTTATATTTGAGGAAACTGAGGCCCAAAAAGGTAAAGGTGGCACATATAACAAGTAGTAGAACTGGATTTGAACTCTATTCTTCTGACTCCAAATCTAGCTCACTTTTCCATTGTATAATGCTGCCTCTTGAGAAATTTGACATCAGGTACTAAGACAAAAATGTGAAACAAAGAAAGACCATTCTATTCTCTGATCAAAGTTATTCTCTCTGGCTTTCCCTGCATTCCTCATCTAAGCTCTGGTTTCGGTCACATTCAGGCTTTGGCAGGTCCTAAGCTAGACTCTTACATTATAAATATAAATAGGTTAGGAGGCTGAAACCTTAGTGCATGCCCATACTGCTGTTAAATTCATTTAGAAGTTAAGCGATAGAACACAAATACATTTTTACTGTCTCAAGAACAGATACTGCTATTTCTCTTATATTTTTCCACAAGGTTTCAGTAATTTGGGGCAGTAATGTTGCCAGCCACATGAGTGAAATTTATTTAAGACAGCTAAAGAACTTAAGTATTAGGGAATGCAGAAAGATCTGTCCAGGAGCAGCATTTGAATCCAAGAGGTTTTGGACAAGTAAATAATACATATTTTTATATGGAACTTACAAGAAATTTTATATGGTTTGTGATCCTCAAAGTAGATTCTAATAGCTTACCACTTTCACAGGACATTGTAGTATTCTTGTGTCTTGATGTGGATTCTAAAATTGAAATAATAGTATGTGCAGCATAACATTTGGATGATTGATGCTTCTACATATGCCCTTTCCTGTTCCTACCACCACCACCACCACCACTACTTGTTAATGCTTCTCCCACAAAATTACTTTGTATCTGTTCTGTTTGTCTTCCCCTATAGAATGTTAGCTACTAGGGCCTAACAGAGGGCCTACCACCCTCTAATAAATGTTTATTGGTTGACTGTGATACTCTTTAGGTGATGGATTATCTTCCGATGAAAGTAGTATGAGTGTGATTTTTTAAC